AACCGAAACCGCAGATGGAGACAAGGCCATCTGGAGATACGATTTGATCAAAATCGGAATCCTCTTTCAGCTCAAAGGGGAATATTTCCGGCGGTTGAGGGGTGAGTGGTTGCCGGAAGAAGTCGCCGTGAGACATGCCGGAGATTCTCCGGAAACAAGAATGCGGGTAAATAGGAGGTATGGTCGAATAGTGTCGGGGTTGTGGTGGAATTTGGTGGGGATTTAAGGTGCGGCCATATGAAAGAAATGAAAGATTGATAGCTGTGGACATATTATCTCATACGGCAGGGCAGGCTGGTAAGCTCAAAAGTAGTTCAGAAAGTTACCTTATTTATTTTGGATATTATTTTGGAAGAATGTATTTTAGAATAATAGATTTATGGATAATATGTGGTTGAAAAAAAAAGAAAAGTTATTGAATGAAAAATATTATTTTAATGAAGAATGTGTGGTTGAAAATGAGTAGAAGAATGAAAATGAAAATTTCAATAGGTACCAAACACAAAAAAAAGAAAAAAAAAATCATACTACATTTATCAAATTATTTTATCGAATCTTTTACCTACTATTCACAATGAGAATGAGAACAACATTGTCGAAATTTTTAAATATACGCGAGTCTCGCGCACTATATGAAAGGATGTAATTCATTATGTACAAATCATTATGTACAAAAATGGATTAACCCTTAAAAAAAGGTAAAGTACATGGACTTTCGGTGCGGTGGTTTGAGCCCTATTATCAAAACAATTATTTCACTTGTACAGAATTATTTCATCTTTAAAAATGACAGAATACTCACATGGGGTGGGCCCATGTGAATAAAATATTATTATAAAAAATGGGGCCCCCCATGTGTGTGATCCGGTATTTTGACAGAAAAAAATCTCTGTAACAGTAGCACTCTTCTTATCAAAATTCACTTTTTTCGAACTCTTTTTTATTTATACATATTCTTTCGATAGGATAATTTTATATGTAAATTCAATTTTTTTTTTTTAATGTTTTTTAATCACATATTTTCTAAAATANTTATATGTAAATTCAATTTTTTTTTGTTAATGTTTTTTAATCACATATTTTCAAAAAAAATATTATTATAAAATTCATTTTTTCTCAAATATGAGACTCGAAGAGAGGCTAAATGCATTGTCATGACAATTTTGATAGAAATGAAAAGAGGCAGCCGCTTCACAGTCGTCATGATCTAGCTCATCATCATCATTCACAGTTGCATCTTGATTAAACATATAGAGATACAAAATGGTTGTGGTCGTCTTCTTCTTCGTCAATTTTTTTCTTTCTTTTTTTTGGCAATGTGACAAGGAAATAATAAACAATTTGATAAACCAAAAAAGGAACTTGCAATGGGTGGACAAATTTGGTTAATAAAGGAATTCTAAAGTATTGAGCATAAGAGCAATTCTCTGTAACCTATATTTAATTTGTTGCTTTCCTTATTTTTTTTAATTTTAGCATTTATTGTTTTTTCATTATTTTACTATTGCATGCTTGGCATTGCAAAAGAGGGACTTTAATTATGAATAGAATTTAATTTAAATATTTTGATTATGGGTTGGTTTTCAATTTTTGAAATCTATGAATTTTAATCAAGCGTTAAATCACTGGATCACGTTACATCAAATTTGGTATCAAAGTTTACCAAGGAGACTATCCAACGCTAGCAAGCACTGGATGATAGAGTTTGGAAGGAGAAGATACACAAATCACCAACAAATTGACATGACCTTTGCTCAATGTTGGAAGTGCTGGAGCATAGGGCGATAGATTGTTGTCGAGGATATCAAAAATTTCAATTTCCACCAAAGATCTATTTTGTATTTAGTAATGTTCAGGGCAATAAATGAGACGGAAAATATCACGTGGTATAACAAAATCAAACTTATTCGTTTACCGTGAAATTATAATTCATTCGTCAATACGATCTGATCAATTACAAGATATAGATGTGTGTTAATTGCGATTATCGATCATATCTTCCATCCCATTATTAAGTCAATATAAGTCGAAAACTTTTTTTTTTTCAAGACTTATGAGTACAATTTTGCAACAAATTTCGTTATCAACTTAATTTGTGGTTTTATTTAATTTCATGTCTCTAATAGTTATGGTCATCTACACTAATTTAGACAAACGAATCGGAATGATTAAATAATTAATTAATTAATTAATTATTTTATTTTATTTGTGGATTTATTTCCTTAAAAATTAAATTTTAATTAAATACCAAATTAGAGTTCAACTCTAATTTCAAAACTTAAGGCGATTGAATTTAATTAAAATCAAATTTTAATTAAATGCAAAAAATTAGAGTCCAACTCTAATTTCAAAAGATTATGGCGAATTTATTTAATTAAATTTAAATTTTAATTAAATGCCAAAATAGAGTCCAGCTATAATTTCAAGAAATTTTTTAGGTTGAGACAATTTAATTAAAATCTAATTCTAATTAAATATCAAATTAGAGTTCAACTTTGATAACAAAATTACAGGGCGAATTTATTTAATTAACACCAAATGTTAGTTAAATTTTAAATCAGAGTCCAACGCTATTTCCATAAAAAGATTTTAGGGTGACACCAAATTCTAATTAAATGTCAAATTAGAGTCCATCTTTAATTTCTAATTGAATTCACATTTTAATTTAGGAAAAAATTCCCAAATTAAATAAAATTCAATTTAGGGTCAA